AGAAAGAGGAAGAAAGAGAGAGAGAGAGAGAGAGAGAGAAACATTGATGTGAAAGAGACACATCGATTGGTTGCCTCCCACACGACCCCAGTCGGGGTGGGGGATCAAACCTGCAACCGAGGTCCGTGCCCTTGACCAGGAATCAAACCCATGACTCTTCGGTCCTCAGTCTGATGCTCTAACTGCTGAGCCAAATTGGCCAGGGCAAGCTCTTGTCTTTTTAATTGTAGTGATTTTGATGCCATTATCTTGTGCTTTTAATGTAGAATTCCCTCATGACTTACGATATTGAGCACTTTTTCAAGTGTTTATTGGTTATTCTTATCTTCCTTTGTGATTTAACTATTCAAATAGTATGCCCATTTAAAAAATTGCATTGCTTTATTATTATTATTAAAGTAGTAGTTGCTACAATAAAGAGCTCACACATAGACCCACATTTATACAGTCAGTTGATTTCTGATCAAGGTACCAGAGCAATTCAATGGGGGAAAAAAATATTTTCACGAATTGATCTGAAACAATGGAACCTCAACCCAGCTCGTCTGAAATGAACCATAGACCCAAATGTAAAAATTAAAACTAAAACTAGAAGAAAACAAGAGAATATCTCCATGACCTTGGAGAAAGCAGAGTTCTTGAAGAAGATACAGAAAGCAATCGCTTTCACACAGGAGCTCCTGGGGACTGGGCTTGACTGGCCATGCGCCCGTCCACAGATGCACAAGTGGGGAGATAGTAGGACCTGCCCAGGTGTTCTCCACATGGGACCCCGAGTCCTGGGCGGAGGCTTGTGACTAACTTTGGGGTCTGTGTCCTGTTCCCCTCAACACCCTAGACAAGGACTTAACTGAAATATGTGTGGTCTCACCAAATACCCCACGGCAAAGAAAGAATGAGTCACCTTCCTTCCGGGGCCTTTTCCCCTTAATTAATGTGGGCTTCACACCTTAGACCAAGGTCTCCATGAGAGCTTAGGCAGAGGAGGCCTGCGACAGGAGGGGACACTGTCTGAGCCAGCTGTAAGAAGGGCACAAGCTTTGCACTGGAGACCTAGAGACACAAACAGCGTGAGGTGGGGGAAACGCTTGGGATCTGGAGTCTGCTGGGCCTGAGTTCAGATCCTCAGACTTATCCTTCTGGAGCTGTATGTCCTTGGGGAATTCACTAGACCTCTCTGAACCCTGGTTTCCTGGTAAGAGGTGACTTGAGTTTGACATCAATTGACCATTGGTCGGAGGGCAGGTCTAGGCACAGTGGGGAGCCCCTGCCAGCAGGGGCAGCCTGCCCTCAAGCAGTCCACGCAGAGCTGGACCCCAGTGCGAGACCCCCACTCCACCTTTCACAAGCTCCCTTTCCTAGCTTTTCTGCTTCACGACCCTCAGCCTCCCAGGCCCCAAATGCTGTCAAACTTTTGCTTCTCTCTTCTATGTCCTGTGTCCAATTAGCTACAAAGTCCTCTCAATTTTTCCTTGAAAACACCTTTTAGCAAGAAGTCCTCCTGTACCCAATGCTGCTGTTGCCGACCTGATTCCTGTTCCTTCTCAAGCTTCCTGGCAGAATCCCAATTTTGTTCACTGTCGCAACAAAAGTCTAGCAAAAGGCTTTCTTTTCTCTAGTTCTTTGCAGCTACTGGGATGTACCAATGAGATGTAAGCTGAAGGTTTCGAGGCAAGATCTGCTTTTCTCATGTTGGCACCACCCCTTCCTATTCACTTTAGTTTTTCACTTGGGATGAGGCCCTGCAGTCTGGAGGAGCCCCGCAGCCATCCTGAGACCATGAGGCGCCAGTCTGAAGAAGGTGTTCCCATCACTCAGCCAGACTATTGCACAAGCCATCAGAGGGCTCTCCCAGTCCCTTCCTGCAAGTGGGGGCATCAAAGTGAACACACGCGTTCCAGAATCCAATGTCTCCAGGTGTGGTTCATCCTCAAGTACGACATTAAGCAACCAGTGGAAATGAAGAAGGAAATCTAAATTTATTGACATAAAAAGATGTTCCTGATACCAGTGATACCTCGGTTCTCGAACGCCTCGGATTTCGACCAAATCGGTATTCGACCAGGAGATTCGAGAAACTTTTGTCTTGGAATCCGAACAAATATTTGGAACTCGAACTTCCGAGATGAGCCGAGTTGAGCCGAATGGCGTTCATTCGGCCCAGTGTGCCTTGCTTGCGTCATCAGTGTGAGTGCAGAGAGAGAGTCACGCTGTGTGGAGAGAGTCACGCTTTACACTGAATTTAACCCTTAGACATACTGTACACTTTTATTTCTTGTTGAGACTTATGTTTTTCTACATATTATATACAAATTAGGCCAGTAAATTGGCATTTTCTGGGGCTTGGAACGAATTAATCCAGTTTCCATTATTTCCTATTGGGTTTCATTGCTTCGGTTCTCGAACAATTTGGTTCTCGACCGTCCTCCTGGAACGAATTATGTTCGAGAACCGAGGTATCACTGTATTTTGTTAAATTGAAAAAGCTGTTTAAAAAAACTGTTTAAGCCCAGCTTGTGTGGCTCAGTGGTTGAGCGTTGACCCCTGCACCAAGAGGTTGCCAATTTAATTCCTGGTCAGGGCACATGCCCAGGTTGTGGGCCCGATCCCCAGTGGGGGGCATGTAGGAGGTGGCCAGTAGATGTTCTCTCTCGTCAGTATTTCTATCTCTCCCTCCCTTCTTTTCTCTCTAAAATCAATAAAGAAAAAATTTTTTAATACTTTTAAAAAGCATATATAGTTACACATATACATGTGCTTATTTATAAATATGTGTATTTAAAAGTGTAAAAGGATATTCCTATAAATGTTGAACAGGCTTATTTATATCTCTTTGGTGAGCTTATAAGTGGTTTCATTTCTTTTTTTCTTACTCATCAGATTGAATCTTTTTTCCAATAAAAAATAAAAATAAAAGACAAGAAGTGCTTAAAATACTTAAATTCAGTGCTTTTTAGTTTGACATTCGGTGGCTTCCACAATGGGCAGAAATAAAAGTGATGCGTCTGTGTGTGTGTGAGTGAATTTGTGAGTGTTTGAGAGTGTGTGTCTATGAGTTAGTATGTGAGCGTAAGTGTGTGGGTGTTGGGGCGTGTGTGTGTCTGAGTGTCTATGAGCGTGTGTGAGTTTGTGTGGATTGTGTTTGAGAGTGTGTGACTGTTAGTATGTGAGTGTAAGTGTGTGGGTGTTGGGGCGTGTGTGTGTCTGAGTGTCTATGAGCGCGTGTGAGTTTGTGTGGATTGTGTTTGAGAGTGTGTGACTGACGTAGTGTGTGAGCGTTTGAGAGTGTGTGTGTCTGGCCCTGGCCGGTTTGGCTCAGCGGTTAGAGCGTCGGCCTGCGGTCCTGAGAGACCCGGGTTCGGTTCCCGCTAAGGGCATGTACCTCGGTTGCAGTTTGTCCCCGGCCCTGGTCGGTTGTGCGGGTGGCAGCCACTCGATGTGTTCCTTTCGCGTCGATGTTTCTCTCTCTCTCTCTGTTCCTCTCTCCCCCTCCCACTCTACCTGAACAAAAATGGAGGAATGTCCTCGGGTGAGGATAAAAAAAAAAAAGAGAGAGTGTGTGTGTCTGAGTGTGTGAGTCTGGGTGAATTTGTGAGTGTGTGACTGTGAGTCACTGTGACCATGTATAAGCCAGTGCTGTGAGTGTGTGTGGTGAGTGTGTAAGTGTGTCTGCCTCCCTGGGTTGGGGTGAACAGCCAGAAAGGATTCAGGGGACCAGACCCCTCCTGCTTCCATCACGGGGCGCAGCAAGCCTGCTTTCCCAGCCCCCCACTCAGCCCTCACGGGAGCAGGAAAGGAGGTGAAAAGGAGGAAGACCCCAGTCTGGCTCGGAGGACTGTCTGTCTGGGTCTGTTCTGTGGCGGCTGCCACTTGGGCTCCAGTGGCTGCCAGGCCAGAGCCCTCCTGGTCACACCAGCCTGAAAAGGTGGCCAGATCAGCTGTTGCCACGCAACCTTCCGGAACTCCTTGACCAAGAGGTTTTGTGGCTGAAGACATTTGGAAAAGGCTGAGGATTCTGCTTCCGGGACCCACAACACACACTGGCAGGTTAAGGTGCTGAGAAGTCCCGCAGAAGCAAACCCGGTGAAGCCTGCTGGCCCGGCGCTTCCCCCTGAGGACAGGGCCCCTCCACTCCCCGACAGAGCCACGGGGAAACTGAGCGTGATAACAGCTGCATTTGCCTGGCAGGGGCAGGCGTCCTGCTCGAGGTGCCCCAGCTTTTAAGAGGCCTGCCTGCCTTGGACCTCCATCCCCTTCCTGCTTACAGAAGCTGAGTGGAGAGCAGTGCTCTGAACGGGCTCAGGAAAGATGCAGTATTTTATTTTATTATTATTTTTTAAAGTTTTTTTTTTTCTTTATTGATTTTAGAGAGAGAGGAAGGGAGAGGGAAAGAGAGACAGAAACATCGATTGACCACCCCTCTGCATGCCCTGCACGGGGATCGGGCCCACAACCTGGGCATGTGCCCTGACCGGGAATCGAACCAGCGACCTTTTGGTGCATGGGATGATGTTCAACCACTGAGCCACACTGGCGGGGCAAGATGCAGTATTTTAGACAAGGCTGTGCTGCTGCTAAGGACTCAGCCACGAGGGGACTCCTGGGTGATGGATGGGTGGGATGATTAGTGATGGCACTGAAGGGCCTGGGGTGGGAGGGGTAGGTGCTGAAGGCACGGTTCCCACTGGTCCTGCCTGGGGACCTCTACTATCTCCCCAGCTGGAGGCGAAAAACCCCAAAAGAGATGGAAGCTGGGGTCCAGTCCCCCCACCTATTCAGGTCAGAAAGCTTTAGTAGTGTGTGTGTGTGTGTGTGTGTGTCTAGGGGGCGATAGGGAGCATGGAACCTCTCAGGTATCATTTCTTCACCCTTCTCCCCAAACTGATGGTGTTTGTGGTAAACCCGATGATGTGGGGAGCTGGCCTATCAGAGAACAAGGACTCCTCAAGGTCAGACTGCCAGGTTCCCAGCCTCCATAAAACGGGGTGTGGAGGGTGCCTTGGCAGCTGCCCCACCATGGCCTCCTGGACCCTCCTGCTCCTCGTCTCGGCGCTCCTGGGCTCCCCAGGTAAGGATGGTCGCCCGGGTGTGGTTCCTGACAGCTCCCCCGGTCCCTCAGCAGCTTTCTCGCCCTCACCAGGGAGGGGTTTCCCCCAGAGCCGGTTCTGCCCCAGCCTGTCAGTGGCCTGGCCGAAGGGGAGAGACAGCCAGTGGGAAGGAAGCGAGACCTGGCTGGGGCTCTAGTCCCAACTCTGCTGGGCGTGTTGTGTGGCCTGGGCCCCCTTTTCCTCCCTGGGCTCTGGCTCGAATCTGTGCTGTGAAGGTCTCTGGTCCTCATCAGAGGGTCTGATGTCTCCTCCGCCCACACTGGGCAGGAGTAGGGCAGGGCTGTGGGTGACGGGCCCTGTCACCGTGTAAGACTCGCTTCCTGCTCCACGCTCCTCTCTCCCAGGCACTGGGGTCCCCGCGAGCTCCGAGGGCTCAGCTGAGGGTAAGGGCACGTCTGGAAGGGAGAGTGGGTCGGGAGGGAAGGAAAAGGGAAAGACAGTCTCTTGAAAGGAGATGAGGGAAGTTTCCTTTCAGATCGACCCTTAAACCTGTGTGCGTGCGTGTGAGTGTGAGTGTGGACGAGAGGGAAGGGTAGGTCTGTGCGTAGGGGAGAAGGGAGCAGCCTTTCCTTCTGGCTTTTCAGAAGGTCCTGGAGAGCCTGTTTTTTTGTTGTTTTCTATGTTTGTTTTTGCTGATGGTCAGAGCAGCCCTAGGGCAGAGTGGGAGGGGAGGGCCTCCTGGCCTCCTCACCAGGCCCTACTCCCGTCCTGGGCCCCGGTACTTCCTGGGCTCCGCACCACCCGGGAAAACAGACTTTCCACCCCGCTTTGGGCTGCGGAGGAAAGCAGTGCTGTTTCTTCCCCAGGTCTGGCCTCTTCTAGTCTGACCCCTGAGTACTATGACCCGGCCGTGGCCAGCCTGTGTGAGGGACAGCAGCTCCGCCGGGGCCTGGCCGGGGTGGGCCCCCAGGTAAGTGGGTTCCTGCTCACCTCCCAGACTCCCCTTCCTCTCCTCCTGGATAGTGCCCGGGGCGGGCTGGGGGTCTCTAAGGAACAGGGAGGGGAAGGAGAGGTGTGAGCTGAAGATGCAGCTTTGCATACACCTGTGCCTGGCGCGCAGGGTGCTGTTAGTCTGCTGGGGCCACCCAAGAGGGTCCTCTGGGGTCTGACGGGGGAACAGAAGAGGGGAATGTGCTGGGCTGGGAGGATGTCCGGCAAGTTCCGGGGTCTCTCAGCCCCTCTAAGACTAGCAGGAGGGTGGGCAGGGGACAGCCAGGAAAGAAAGATCAGAGATGATCCTGCTGGCCTGGGAGCGTCTGAGAGACCACCTGGAGGGACCTCCTCTCCTGACAGGGTGACCTGCTGACCGCCACAGAGGGCCAGGGAACCGGGTGCTGGTTCTGCCGGAAGATGATCCAGGCGCTGAAGAACATGGTGGGAGAGCAGCCAGACGAGGTGAGGCTGGGCGTGAAGGGGGCGGCGGAGCTGCTCAGCAGGGGTTCGTAGGCCCCTCAAGCGTCTGTGGATGGACTTGAGGACATCAGGACACTCTGGGAGTGGGAGGAAGGGGGCATGGTTTCCGGGCAGTTCTCAGGACAGAGCTTTGAGAAACTGGTTCCCGAGGCCCAAGTCAGTCCTGGTAAACTCCAGATCCGCCGCTAGCTGGGTGGCCTGACCAGTCACGAATGTGTTCTGAACTTCGGTTTTTCATCTGTGGAACGGGATGGATGATAACTCCCACCTGGTATGTCGCCTGAGCCCTTAAAGGAGCAGAGGGGTGGGATGTGCTCCACTCCCTGTCGGGCACCGAATACGTGCGAACAAGGGGCTGTGTCACGGCCAAGAGCGTTGCTTCTCTCTTTCCCCCTCTCTCACTCTCCAACCCGCTTAGCATCCTGGCCCTGCAGGGCCACTCTCAGGCCTGGGTACTCAGATTTGCCTTTCTCCTCTGGGATGGCAGTAGAAGGTATTTCGAAATCGAACATGCCAAGGCTTCAAGCTCTGACCCCCTCCAAAATTTCCCCACACACCTCCTGCAGATGGAGAGCCAGCCAGGCCTTGCACCCAAGAAGCTACCTAGACCGAGCCTTCAGTGTGGGTCTGGCCGCTGCGGACACCTTTCTCCACCCAGAAGGCAGGGACTGAGACCCTGACGGGGCCAAAGCTTCTTCTGTCCAGAGCCCCTGTTGACCAGGCTTCGGCCAGAGCCTTGGGGACGGGGAGTGGGTGCTGGGCCCTGTCTCTCCGGTCTCTGCTCCCGTTGCCCTCTGGCATCAGCTCCTCACACTCAGCTCTCCCCTTGCCAGAGCTGCCCAGGGCCCAGCGCTGCTGGGACTTGCAGGGTGGCAGCGCTGGGCAGGGCTCCCCTAACTCTCGTGTCCCACCATGCAGAACAGCATCGCCAAGGCTGTGTCCAAGGTGTGCAGAAAGCTGAGGGTGTCCAAAGGCCTCTGCAAGAACCTCAGGACGAAGTTTCTTCAATCCATCACCCAGGACATCATAGCTGGCAAAAAGTCCCTCGAAATCTGTGTGGACATCCGCATGTGCAAATCTCAGGCAGGTGAGTGCAGAGGTGACAGCAGGGACTCATTCCTGGGCCCCAGACAGCCCCCCCAAGCATGTGGGACATAGTTTAGAAACACAAAAATGTGTAGGAAACTTCATACGCAGCTCCTATGTGTCCCTCCATGCTTCCTAGTTGTTAACCGTTACTTCCCTCACTCCAACATAGGAAACTGGAGAAGTTGGGTAGGTGGGCCTGAGCTAGAAATGTTTGAGAAGCACTCATTAAGAGCTTTGAAAAATACTCCTAATGTCTTGAAACTTTTTACCCCAGGCAGTCCTGGAGTAAAATCAGGTCTTCATATCTCCTCAGCTTTGTGACCCTGGGCAAGTCACTTAACCTCTCTGAGCTCCAGTTTCCTCATCTTTGAAGGGAGTATAACAATTTTTATTTGTGAGGTTGGAATGAAGATGAATGAGATCATCATGTATAAAGAATTTGACACCAAGGAAAAGCCCTCTGACTGATATATACAAGAGACATCAGAGCCCTGATCAAACTCCAATCCCCAGCCCAGCACAGATCTTTGGGGACCGAGCCAAGACCACACCCTCCTCATGACCGCGAGGGTCTGAGTGCTGGGCTCGGGAATCCTTCTGGGCATGGAGGGCTCTCCCAGCCTCTTCCTCCAGCGCTTTCCAGCTCTGCCCAAGGAGAACAGGCCTCAGTGGCTGCTTTGGGACTTGACGCTGCCAGGTACAGGGGTCCTGCGTTAGTGTGTGGTCCCATCGTTTCCTGTCATTGGAGCCTGTGGCTTTTATCTTCAAAGCCACACAACCCGAACAGGTGCCTGACTGGCTTCCAGGATGTGACTCTAGTGTGTTTGGCAGGAACAGGTGGCTCTGAGTCCCCGTTTCCCCCGCAGACCCCACACATCCCAGAGCTGTGTCTTCTCTTTTTTTTTTTTTTTATGAATTTTTATTTATTTTTTTGTTACAGATATTTTACCTTTTTACCCCATTGGCACCCCCCACCCCACCCCCCCTCCGCCCCGTCCCCGGTTTAATTGTCCATGTCCATTGGTCATGCATACATGCATATAAGTTCTGTGGTTTATCTCTTCCCACCCCCCCACCCCCCCACCCCCTCTTCTGAGGGATATCAGTCTGTGCCCTACTTCCATGTTTCTGGGTCTGCTGTATTCCTCAGACTGTTATGTTCATTATATTCCGTATATAAGTGAGATCATGTGGTATTTGTCTTTTTCTGCTTGGCTTCTTTCACTTAGAACAATACTTTCCAGGTCCCTCCATGTTGTCTCAAAGGATAAGAGATCTTTCTTTCTTACCGCTGCATAGTACTCCATTGTGTATATGTACCACAACTTTTTTATCCATTCGTCTACTGGTGGACACTTGGGCTGTTTCCAGATCTTAGCTATTGTAAATAGTGCTGCTATGAACATGGGGGTACATATATTCTTCCTGATTGGTGTTTCAGGCTTCTTAGGGTATATTCCCAGCAGTGGGATCACTGGGTCAAATGGCAGTTCAATTTTTAATTTTCTGAGGTAACACCATATTGTTTTCCATAGCGGCTGCACCAGTCTGCATTCCCACCAGCAGTGCACTAGAGTCCCCTTTTCTCCACACCCTCGCCAACATTTGTTTGATGATTTGTTGATGGCGGCCTTTATTCCAGGTCTCATGTGAGCCTCGGGGCCTCTGGCCCCACCCTGAGGAGAAAGCACCAGAACTCCAGCACTCACGGTCCCTCCTTCCTCCCTAAATCGGAGTCATCCTCCAGTTTCCGTCATCTCCCTCCTCCACTGCCTTTCCTCTCTCCGGAGAATAAAATGTCCTGCACGGTCTCAGTGCGGCCTCGTTTCCTTCGGTGGATTTGCGGGGAGGGGCTGGAGGCGGGCCGGGGACTCACTGGTTCACCAGTAACTGTTCTACGGCCCGCGCTGTCCTAGGTGCCGGGGTTTCGTGGTGAACACCGCAGCCTTGGCGGCTCTCACACACGTAGTCATGAAACACTGACTGAGCACACACTAGAGCCACCGTGGCGACAGAGGCTGGGGTCCACACAAGTAGACCCTCAAAGCTGTCAGAGTGGCCCGGGGGCAGTAGGGTCCCAGGCGGAGTTCTGTTGGTGGAACAGAAACCCACCTGCCTCTCTCAGCAGCCGGCCTTCTGCTGCTGTTCGGGTGAGTGTGTCATTTAGGATGCGTTTGGTTTCAACAACAGAAGGCTTCGTTCACGCGCACTTACATAGAAAAGGTAACTGATTCGCTCAGATAGTTCACCGGGTGCAGAAATCTGTGGCGGCCGGAGCTGCAGTTGGTTCTCCGCCGGTCTCTCATCTGCTCCCACCTCCGCACAGCAAGCTCAGGCCACCTTGCTTCTTGGGGGCAGAGTTGGCTGCCTCAGATCAAAGCTTCCCATCGACACACTATGCCATCAGGAGGGAGACAGTTCTTTGCTGGCTCCTCTTCCCACAGCTGCCTTGGAGAGGACAGGCGCTTCTTTCCTGGGGCCCCAGCAGATTCTCCAGCCCTCAGCAGCCCAGGGGTCCGGTGCCCTCTCTGTGTGGGGGCATGGCATACACTGATAAGCATAAGGCAAGTCAAGGCACGCCCCTGGGCTGAGGTGGGGTCCGTGTCATCCTACCCATATGGTTGAGAAAGATCCGGGAAGAGATTTTTGCTGGAAGAAGGAGAAATAGACCCTGGCCACCACAAAGGGCAATGGTGTATCAGTCAGGGTTCAAACAAACAAAAAAGCAATCAAACACATTGCAACACAGGATCCTGTTTGGGGTGAGTCACGTGCCGTCAAGTCTGCTCTGACTCCTGGAGACCCCAGGAATGAGCATCGTCCACAGAGTCCTGCCCTCACAGCCCTGCTCAGCTCCTGTAAACTCACACCGTGGCCCTGTTCTCCCCTGGTAACTTCGAGTGCTTTCCCACCCAGGGGTCTTCTCAGCACCTCCGCATTTCATTTTGGACGGTCTCATCATAGGGTTTTCAAGATAAAAAAAAAAAAAAAGTTACCAAAAGACAGAGAGAGAAAATCCAAAGTACACGTGCTCGGGTCTGTGGTGTTGCATCACCAAACACTTACGTGGTGCAGCCCCCCCTCTGGGTGTGGATTCGGACCTACGCAGGACATTATTTGGGGCGACCTATGAAACGTGCCTGGAGTCTGTGATGATAACATTGTGTCAGTGTTAACTTTCTGATTTTGATGGTTGTACTGGGTTATATACGAGAATGTCCTTCTTGTAAGGAAATACACACTCAAGTGTTAAGGGGGTAATCGGGGTATTATGTCCGCAATTTGCTGTCAAATAATCTAGAAGAAATAGTAATAGATACATGCAGATAGACTATGATAAGGCACATACCACACATGTGTGGTAAGATGTTAACAGTGGGCGAATCTGGTTAAGGTAGACAGGAGCTCTTTGTATGAATCTTGCAACTTTTTTCTAAATTTGAAATTATTTTAAAATAAAAGTAAATGGCCCTGGCCGGTTTGGCTCAGCGGTTAAAGCCTTGGCCCGTGGACCAAAGAGTCCCGGGTTACGATTCCAGCCAAGGGCACACACCTCAGTTGCGGTTTGTCCCTGGCACCGGATGGGGTCGTGCGGGTAGCAACCAATTGATTGGTCTTTCTCTCTCTCCCTCCCACTCTGTCGGAAGATAAATATAAAAATATCCTCGGGTGAGGGTTTAAAAAAATAATAAAATAAAATAAAAGTAAATGACTTGTATTAATTTGACCTTAACATATGGATCGATGGCGGTTACATTTATGGAGGTGGGATGGGTGGATTTGGAGGATAATGAAGAGTTCTGCTTTGTCCACGCAAGCACACCTATCAGATTCCCAGGTAGAGATGCTGTCAAACAGGCCACGTGGACGAGGAGGGCGATGGGCCGAGATCCGCGTATGAAGTCCTGGAGTTGGATGAGACGGCCTAGAGCAGTGATTCTCAACCTTTTTCATCTCGCGACACATCTAAACTAATTACCAAAGTTCTGTGGCACACCAAAAAAATCTATTTTTTGCCGATCTGACAAAAAACATAGGTAGAATTTGGATTCATTCATACCAGATGGCTATTGTTGTGTTAGCTGTTGGCATTTTTTTTTTTATCCTCACCCGAGGACCTTTTTGCATTTATCTTCAGATAGAGCAGGAGGGAGAGAGGGCAGAAGAGAGAGAGAGAAACATCAACGTGAGAGAGACACACTGAGTGGCTGCCACCCACACGACCCCAACCGGGGCCGGGGACAAACTGCAACCAAGGTACGTGCCCTTAGCAGGAACCGAACCAGGGCCTCTCTGGTCCATGGGCCAAAGCTCTAACCGCTGAGCCAAACCGGCCAGGGAATTTTTTTATTTGACAATCTAAGGGAAAAAAGATCAGTGCCCTCAATAGCCGGATATCACATTTTAAAAAATTCTTGCGGCACACGGGTTGACAATCGCTGGCCTAGAGGGCGTGCCGAAGGGTACAGCCAGTGTCTGAGGAGAGACCAGCCAGTCACCAAAGGGAGGCCTGGGTGGTGGGGGAGGAGCAGCCAGCGAGGAGACTGGGAAGGAGGAGCACCAGGCAGGCAGCCAAGAGAACAAAATGTTTCAGGAAGGAGGGAGTGGCCCACTATGTCCAGTGCTGCTGGGACATCGAGAAGGCGGAGGGCAGAGGACTGGCCACTGGCTCTGGGTGCCCTTGGCTCTTGGTGACCTTGATAAGAGGTTTCTGTGGTTAGGAGGGGACAACACCCACTGGAGTGCGAGGAGGGGACGCACGGCTGACGTGCACACAGCTTTGTGAAGGGCCTGCTGTGGGGCTGGAGAGAAATGGGGCGGAGCTGGAGGCCAGGTGGACTTTGAGGCGGGGTCTGTGTTGAGGTGTTTGCCGACAGGAATGGTTGATGGCACAGGACATCACTCTGAACAGCACAGGGAAGGCCTTGAGAAGGGAGAGGGTGGGACCAGGGCACAAATGAGGGGCAGCGTGGGCTTCTAAAGGAGGGAGTATTGGAGGTTAGACTCACCCTGAGGGACAAAAGCAAGTCAAGGACAGCGGGCCAAGCCAGCTTCTGGTAACAGCTCAGGAGGGAGCTTGAGTGCATTGGCTTCATAGTACAGACTGCCCCTCGGGTACCTGCTCGCCCCCAGTCCCTCTCAGCTCTCTAGCATCACCTCACCAAGGGCGGCCCTTAGATGCCAAGCTATGTCATGTGACCCCTCACCCACCTCTGGCCTCTGCAAAGAGCCCTGCCCTAAGGTGGAGCAAATGATTCTCTCCCCTGGGAACTCGGAATTTCCCCACCTTAGCCAGGCCTGGCCAGGTCCCTGCAGCTGTCCCTTAGTGGTTTTCAGATTTCCTTCCGTCTTTGCTCCCCCACATCCCTTTCTCCACACTGCAGCCAAGGGCTCTTTTAAAAATGCAAACCAGCCCTGGCCGGTTTGGCTCAGCAGTTAGAGCGTTGGCTTGAGGACCAAAGAGTTCCAGGTTCGAGTCAGGTCAGGGGCACGTGCCTCGTACCTCGGTTGCTTGGTACCTTGGTTTCGGTTTGGTCCCCAGCCCTGGTCAGGGTTGTGCGGAGGCAACCAATCGGTGTGTCTCTCTCACATTGATGTCCCCCTTCCTGAATCACACTCTATCTGAAGATAAGTGGAAAACTATCCTCGGGTGAGAATTAAAAAAAAAAAAAGCAAACCACTCCTTAGTTTCCTGGGAGAACACTCCAGCGTCTTTTCTTGGAACTCTGGGCAAAGTTCTGACCCTGTGTTAGAATTTGGTGTAAACCGACAAACCACAATATCTGCCCTAAGCAACTTATAAAAAAATAATAATAATGTTACCTTAAATGTACCTAGCATACTAAATCTCTGTTGTTACATTAAAAAATGATCAATTTAATTAGATTGCACCCCCTGAGTAGCACACATCTTTTTGTATTCTGTGTGTGAAATAAGAAGGATGCATAAACACTTCTGCTGTGTGTGATGATTATCTCAAGGAAAAGCACTTGTGCAACTGAGTTGCAAGCTGAACTACCTATTTTATCAGGGAACACTATTTTTATTATTTTTTCTTTATTGATTTTATTTCTTTTTGAATCTTTATTGTTGAATGTATTACAGATGTTCCTCATTTTTCCCCCATTGACCCCCTCCTCCCCACTCCCGCCCCCCTCCTGCCTTTTCCCTCTATTGTCTGTGTCCATTGGTTATGCATATAAGTTCTTTGGTTTATTTCTTCACACCCCCCAACCCCTTTCCCTTCAAGGTTTGTCAGTCTAACAATGAATTTGTACTTCTTAATCCCTTCACCTTTTTCACCCATTCCTCCAACCTCCCTCCCATCTGGCAACCAACAAAATGTTCTCTGTATCTATGAGAATGTTTCTGTTCTACCTGTTCATTTTGTTTGTAGATTCCATTGTCGATAGATATGTATTCATTGCCATTTTGTTTGTTCATATATTTTATCTTTTTCTTCAAAAAGACCCTTCGTTATTTCATATAACGGTTTGGTGGTGATGAACTCCTTTAACTTTTTCTTGTCTGGAAAACTCTTTATATGGCCATCGATTCTGAATGACAGCTTTGCAGGATAGAGTAATCTTGGTTGTAGGTTCTTGCTTTTCATCACTCTGAATATTTCTTGCCACTCCCTTCTGGCTTGCAAAGTTTCTTTTGAGAAATCAACTGACAGCCTTATGGGAACTCCCTTGTAGGTAACTAGCTGCCTTTCTCTTGCTGCTTTTAAGATTCTCTCTTTGTCTGAACCTTTTGCATTTTGATGATGATGTGTCTTGGTGTGGGCCTCTTGGGGTTCATC